ACAGCTGAACTGCCCGGCAATTGATAGCCTGCTGGGTGGCTGCTGCACAGGGAACTTAGGGAGCTGATGGGGGCGGGAGGGGGGGTTGCCGATCCACCCTGGTTCCAACCCCCACCAGCTAGCTCCAACGGGCTGCTCTTTCTGCAAGCAGTGGATAAAGCAGGCAGCTGCTAAACAACTTAAGGGAGCATTGCGCAACTTTAAACGAGCATGTTCTCTAACTGATCAGCAAGGTAACAACGTTAACTGGGACAACGTTAAGTGAGGAGTTACTGTACTTCTAATAGAGGGGCCATGCTCACTTGCCCTTAGGGAGCTATCCAGCCATTGGGAGGTGTATAGTCTCTTGACTACTTTCCAGTGGCAAAGTTTGTGCTGTTTCCTCTTTTAGGTGAAGAGCTAATGAAGATCAGTGAAGAGGATGAGCAGGGCTGGTGTAAAGGCCGGCTTCACACTGGCCAGGTTGGACTCTATCCTGCTAACTATGTCAAGAGGGTGGGATCATGACTGCTACTCTCATCTTGAGGTGTGTGTGTGTGTCTCGCATGTATATCAGCATCTCCTGCAGAGGTCACCAGGTCACTGCTGAGCCCCTAACCCACATCAACAGCATATGTAGCAATTTCTGGACTTTCTGGGGACATTTATTTCTTGTAATCAATGCTTCATTTTAAAATTCTAGAGCTGTAGGGATTTTCTAATAAACAAAAATTGAGTAAAGACTTCTGCTGCCTCTGAGCACTGTAGGAATTTGGAGGGGGGGGAGGGGTCTTAATGGCTTGTGCTGGGATGGGCCATTGGGACATACTGATACCTTGCCACTCTGCTTCTGCTTGTAAAATCTAGCTAAGAGCTCTTCAGTCCATACTTGGTTGGTTGAAGGCTGCTCTGTTACTAAGCTTCCCCCTTTAGGGAAATTTTTAAGACAAATTGCTGTGAGGAAACCTTAGTGTAGTTTCCTTTTTGGACCCTTTCAGTTGGCCTAGGTATGGCATTGAAGTAGGTCTGGTGGTCTTGGCTTTTGCCAGTCCCTGTGCAAAAGGAAGCCAAGTGTCCGTGATAATTCGTTCAGATCTGCTGGCAGCTTTCAATACCATTCACCTCTAGGTCTCATTGATTGCTCTGTGGACTGCAGCTGGAGTAGCTGGCATAGCTTGAGTGGCTCTATCCTATTCTTTTCTCTTCCAAAGATCCAGTATGATAGGGCTGGTTATTGCTCACCTGCCCAAAGGGCTATCCCAGGTGGAGCACCTTGAGCATGGGTGGTGGGTATCGTAGGCAGGGGGAGGCTGTGCCTCCCCAAACAGCCTAGCTTGGGCCTGCCCACGCTCTGCCCGCAGGCCAGGCCCCCTCCTGCAGTTTCCAGTCCTCTGCCCTAGCACAGGCTGACTGGGGCTAGCTGGCTTGCATCCCACAGGGACTCAAGGCGGCCGCTGCTAGGGCTGCACTGCCTGCCCGGTGCCGTGGGCCTGGCGCACCAGGGCTGGGGATGCTGTGGCCGCGGTGGGGGGTGCTCTGGGCTCCTGCGGGCTAGGTGGGGCCACCCATGATCTTGAGGTTCAATTAAGTTTCCCATCCTAGTCAATATTTATGCCATACAGCTGGGGAAGATGCTGAGGTGTCACAAAACATGTCCAGTGTGTCAGTGGACCAAGGATGGTGCACTCTCTACTTTCCCACTATCTGGCTGGGACTGGGAAGTGGATGATGTACCTTTTTAGAGCCTCCAGCCAAGATGAAGTTGACATAGGGGAGAGAAGGCTTGGTGCCTACCCCACTCAGCTTCATGGCACGTTTGGTTTGTAGTGGGTTTTTGGATCCTTGATAACTGGAGCTCAAACTACCTCTTCCTTCTGGCTGTAAAGGTACTTAAGCACTTCTCACACCTCTGAGACCCTCTCCCACCTCCTTCAGACCCTTGACTTGCAGACTGGATGACTGTATTGCACTCTACATGGGGTGCAGTGCTTGCAGATCATTTAGAAGCAATATATGGTATAGAATGTACCTACCTGCTTTGCAACAGAAGCTACCTTACTCCAGTTTCACTAGCTTCCCAACTATTTCCAGGTGCCATTCAGTGATGGTGATTTATAAAGCCTTTTATGGCCTGGGTACTCTCTCCATCTTTGTTCCACTGGGGCAACTGAGATCAGCTGGGGGTCTGAAGTTCATGGTGCTAGCATTCAAATATGTGGATAGCCTAGAGTCCTCGATTCTGGCCTACCTCTGACCTACATTTTATTTGGGTTCCTACAGCCATCCTGTAACAGACATTTGAAGTGCAAAACTAAAAGTGAAATTGGAATTAATTTTTCATTGTAAGATTTCAGTCCTGGGCAAGTGAATATCACTGAGATACAGAGGCAAGATTGTAAAAACAGCACTTAGAATTTCACTGAGGAAGGTAACTGTGCTTACACACATGAGGTGCTTGGCCCATGAAAGGTGGTCAAGAAGATCCCTGCCATAGAGTCTGAATAACCCATGACAAACTTGGGCCAAAGATGAAAGAAGTGGAACACAGGAGTGATGTCTTCTGGTAACCCTGATGTTAGACAGGCCAACAAAAAAGTTCCGAAGTCTTAGACTAGAAAAAGAGCAATAAGACATTCAGAGGAGAACCAACACCCACGTTCACCCAACTGTCGAGACAAAAAGCAGACAGACTCAAAACTCTGTACTGTTACCAAGAACACAAGTAGTAAAATGTCTGCTGTGATGGCAGAAGCCAAATTCTTCATCACATTGGATGCATTGGCAGGGTTTAGGAGATGGCCCTGGCCACAAAACTTTGATATTTGCAGTTTCAATGCATCATTTGGCTGCCTCATGAGGTTGCCTTTTGGGATATACTTGGCACCAGGAAGTATTTCTCTGCACAATGTGCCAGGTTCAGAAAGGTGTCTCAGGAGTGAAAATGTACATTGATGCCATCATAATCTGGGGCAGCGCCACTCCTGAACTTCAGGAACAACTCTAGAGAGGGCTGGAAACCATAAGAAGAAACAACCTTCAAGTGAATGAGGCTTAAATGTCCATTTTAAGTTACTGAAAGTGAGCAGACTGGTAAGATTCAAGCACTAGTGAATATGCAGGGACCAAAAGATAAAGGAATTCTGAAACTGCAAGGCATGTTTATTTAGCTCAGTAAGCTTGTACCTACCTCTGCAGCTCAAACAATTTTCAGTAAAATTGCTTCACCGATAAACAGAATAGATTTGGATGGCAGAGTGTCAGAATTCAAGCATAGCATTTACTGACTATAGCACTACTACAGCAATGCTTTGACTCATGGGACGAGTCTCTAAAGAGGTTTCAAAAAGAGTGGGACTGATGGCTCCCTACAAGGAGCATGACTGGCAGAAAATGTTCATCTGAAAAGATGCTAGGCCTCGCCTATCCCTATACAGTTTGACTAGAGAGAGTTATGAATCCTCAAGCTGAAATGGACCATAAACCACTGATTATGGCCTACAGAAGGACATGGAGAAGTGTAACCAAGGATGCAGTCATTCCTTTACCATGATCCTGAAGCTCCAGCTAGGGCATTGCTTAGTAAATTGCATGTGCTCCTGTCACTGACCCGCAGCCAGATGACCTAGAACAAATAGTGATAGTACACATGAACATGATAAAAGGATCCTGAACAAGAACATGAGATGAGCTAGAGGGAAAACAGGCCAAGGATAAAACCCTACAAACAATAAATTATATGTAACAAATGGAGAAATCTAGTCTTCCCACCTATACATTCCTAACGTATATGAGAGTTTTCATAACCATTCACAGAAAAGGACAAATACGCCTTCCCATAGTGACAAGGAAATATTGGGAAGAACATAGGAAGGGCAATTTTGAATGACAGTCCACAATTCTCCTTTTTAAAAATTGTATTCTGGCCAGGGATGAAGAGTGACATTGAAAAAATGGCAAACGTATGTGAAAGATGGTGGGAGGTACAGAGAAGCAAAGCTGAAATACCCTGTGATACAGAATGAACAACTTACACCTCCAGAGGACAAAGTCTGAACAGGTTTTGTTTGTCCTGAGAAAACATGACCACCTGATCATAATGCACTGTTTGCAACTTTTCAGAAATAAACACTTAAGTACACCATAGCTTGTGTGACCAGATCCAGAAAATCAAGTTTGCACAGTGGGAATTCCATAAAATGCCAAGGACTGTATTAATGGACAAGGGACCCACACATTAAGAATGGGGAGGTTTTGGACTTTGCTGGAATCTGGACTTTGCTGGAATCTGAACTTTGGCATGACAGAGTATGAGATTCCTATAAACAAATGGATTAACAGAATATGGAGCCTAAGTAGTGAAGAATTTACTTAAAAACAAACAAACCCTACTTAACACATCTGCTGGTGATTTCCCCATAGTGCAGAACTCTGTACAAACAGCTGTGTGTATACTTGTTTACCAGACTGATAGAATTATGGCCTGACAAACTTGTGATGTTGGCAGAGATCTGACAAATCAAAATGGATACAAAACTATAATGGAGCCAAATGCCCTTTGCCATAATTGGTTAATGTGGTTTGGGGCTCTTAAACCAGAAATCATTTCAGGAATCTATCTAAAACAGATACAGAAACCTGTTGAAAGGTACAGATTTAAATGCTTGGATGATGTTAAACTATGGCCCTGTTTGTGTTAAAACTTGTCCCGTTCCTCCACTGAATGGAAAATGAGCTTTAATGTTAAGATTCAATCAGGGAATGTGAAGCTTCCATAGGCCCTGCCCCAATCCCCACTGTCACACCCTGTGGTTGCATGTGATACTCTGGGAGAGCCAAAAAACTAGACAGGAACTAGTTGCTGACACTGAGATTTTGAATACAGCAAAATTAAACTACAACAGACCCACCATGGTACTAACTACATTATTTCTTAAATAAATTGTATTTTTCTATTCAAGTGTTTTATATTACCTATGCCCCCAGGCACTTCAGTACGTAAGTGCCTTCCACATGAAATCAATAACAATAGCAAAGCCCTTCTGGGAAACCCTACCTTGAGTTAGCAGTGAAGGCTTCTGTATGCTGGAAAGGGGAAACCTGTGCTTGGCTATCCTGGCTGGTACAGGAGGACCTGTGAGCCTGCTTGGTGGAAGTAGTTGAAGAGGGTATGATAGTGATCACATGTCTCTTTCAATAGCTCCACAATAAAGGAACAGCTGACTTGGCTGCCACCTGAGCTGCTCCACCTATTACTGTGGCCCATGCAGCAGCCCCATAGTCTCTGGGGTGAGAGTTGTTACTGTGAAACCCAGAACCAGCTGGGAAAACTGTTTCCATCCATGGGTGGGGGTTGACAGGGGTAATCAACATACACCAACCACCCTATGGCTAATGTTTTATGCCCAGGTCCTTCATAGAGCTTGGTGCTGTTGCTTCTTGCAGACAGGGTTTAAATTTACAACCTCCCCTATCTCTTTTCCCCACACTTTGTGTACGTGTTCTTTTGTAGATATGTCAAAGTTGATGAGCAGCAGATGAGCACTTTCCTGTGGGTCTGTAGCAGCCCCAGCTGGGGCCCTATGGAGCACCTGCTGCAGCTGGTTTCTGTGTGGTAGGGTTGCTTGGCACTAGGACTGAAGCACTGCAACAGGTGTGAGTGTGTGGAAACCTGACCAGCGCCCCAGTGAACTGTTGCAACAAGCCATGTCTGCCCCTCACCCTCTGCATTTCTGCTATTTACTGA